TCTCTTTTTTTTGCCTCAGCCCTGTTTTATTTAGAAATCCTCTATAATAGTCTTGTTTATCATTGGAATCATCGGCTTGCGAAAGGTTTAACGTTCGAACTGTTAGAGTATTAATCGTTTAGTTGTCTGATATATTTTTTTAAATAATACTGAGGTTTCTGGCCTTTTGATCATATACTTATATACTTTGCAGTTCGATAGTACAGCCGAGACGCGAGTATTCTTGGGCTATTTAAAAAAAGCTAAGCAGTGATGACTGCTACACATACGTAGTAAAACTGAAAAAACACTACAAAATTTGTATAGTAAAAACCTGCTTTCCAAAGCTTCAAAGGTATAATTTTTGTTTGTTCTTATAGAAATAACTGTACTTCTTACATACATATTATTTTTTGTAGGTAATTGTAAATACTGAAAATCGTAAGCCGTTTCAGAAGCGTTTTTTTTGTGCTCATGTTAGCTTGGTTATTTGGACCCGTTTTCAGAAATCTAGTCGGAAGGTGCTCCGGTAGATATAACCGGATATTACAAATATACCATAGTTTTATACTAAATAGAACAACATACAAACGTGGCAATGAGCAAACTTTAAGTGTCAAATCGGAGAGGACAAAACATAGCGCCTTTGAATAGCCGGTTAGCCTAATGCAAACGTACCAAACATATGTACTTGTAACGAGTAGCTCGATGTATTTCTTTCAATTCATTCTGATTTCAACTGACTCTGAAACTCACGCGGTAAAATAAGTATAGCTTATCACAAAATTCAAATCAAAACCCTCCGATCAAACAAATCCGGCCCAACAGATGGTGTACAGGGTCGACACTATTCAATTGGCTATCGTCTTTTTTATCGCTCATAGAACTACCGTTGTTGTTCGATTATACAAGTAATATCCGCACTAGTTATTTGAAGAACAAGAATTAACTGAAGTGTCTTCTAAAATGTAATAGCTCTTTATAGGCCACCATCGTCGGCGTCCCAATCACCACAAGTTATTATCGCTCGAACGAGTAAACGAACTGCTCGCATCAACCTATAAAGCTAACGGCTGTATATACATATGTATTCGGTTTAGGCCCTTTATTTGTTCCTGGGCCCATTCCAACTTCGACGGTTTGCTATGATTTTGTACCCAGAACAGGGCACCATCAGCGGCATAGATGTGCTCTCCGCTACGCGTAGCTACGGAAGCGTTTGAAAAAGCCGGACGTTGAAGGATTAAAATAATTTTTTAATAAATAAAACCTAGTTGATACTGGCTGTCCATAGGCCCTGCTGGCCTAGTCAAGAGCTTGGATTTGCTATAAGCAGTAGCAGAGTTTTTAATTAAACGATTAGACTGCGTTTGGGAATTGATTTAAGAAATATCCATTATTCAAAACTGCCATTAGACATGTAATAATATATGTGAGAGAGAGAGAGAGAGAGCAGGAGAGCGAATCCTGTCAGCCATATGACCATTGAAATTTAGACGAAAAAGATCTTCATATGCTTAATGTCGAATTTGATCTCAAGGGCTAGATCTTTGAATGGTCTATGACACAGACCTGACCCCAACTTTTTTCATCGATTGCAATGTTTAGTAGATAAGACAACCTATATTAGCTGATAAATGGCATTACTCCTGAGTATTTTTTGGCTGTACACGAAAACCATCTGAAATTTGGCAGTTGATTCGCAAATAACGCCACGGAACGACATAGGTCACGTGATAGGTTAAGAACAGGCTGCATATTACGAGGATTATCGTAATCTGTCTTAATTATCGCCATTTGTAAACATATTTAATAACATAACTCTGTGTATATACTAGCCATTATTTCCAAAAAAAAATGCCTACTTCTGTAAGAGGTGACCATATCAGTTCAAACACATGCCGAGTAGTCCAGCACAAGTACAAATGTTCAACATGATTATTAAGTAAGCGCAGCGGCCAATATGAAGTAATATGCCCTCATAATATCTGTGGGCATGTCTGCCCTATGATTATTGTCGTACATCAATATGCTCTTAACTATAAGCGTAGTGCAATATATGCTTGATTCTTAAACCTACAGTTTTCCCGGTCGGAAATTTAGCTAGGCAAGGCGGCCTAGGCGCCGAGAAGGCATCGTATTCTTTATGCGATTACATAATTTATACATTAGTTATTTGTACGAAACACGTTTATTCCGTAGCTTGGAACGTTTACCGAATACTACTTGAAACTTAGCAGTAAAAATGACGTAGTTACGCGACCATTGGTTGTTTCACGTAGCCCACTATATGAAAATGCTTTGCCTTTTCTGCCCAATCTAACTTCAGGTCCTGCGCGCGAGGCAATTTTCCTTTTTCAAAACTGTATGGAAGTGACTTCCGATTCCACTCCCTTCGTTGGGGTACGCGAGACACGAATGTGTAGGGTGCAAACAAGGCCAGTAAAAAAAAAAAAGTTATCGCCCATCCGCGCTTCAGACACATGTCGTACGCACATCTGCTGCACTCGAAACACACAATCTGCAAGACGCACACACAGCGTACAATTATTGTTCACGAACATTATCTTATAGTCGGCGTATACAGCCACCTCTGTCCATGCATCCTGGTCCTACCGTTCTGTCCATCTAGCGCCTGTTTATCCGCTCTGGTGCTTTTTTTTTTTGAAAATACTCGCCGCTCGATTGCTCGATATGAACGAGTCACCGGCCCATCCTTTTATGTAGATTTACCTCGCTCGTCGAAAAGCGCAGCAAAAAGGGAGAAGAAGAGACTATTGCTTACAAACTAGTAGCAAATGTTTATGGGGGCTGAGAATCCGAGCAAACACTATTACGTTGTAGGCGCGTGCCGTCGAGGTGGGTAGTGTGCCAGGCATTAGTAAACGACAACTAAAAGAGACGAGTCACGGCCATATCATGGCGCTTTTCAATGTCTGCGCCAAAACAACGCCTACGCCTACGCCTACAACAACGAAAATTGGAACGACTGAAAGTAGGAAGCGATGAGAGGAAAGTAGCATCTGCTTAGTTGACAGTCCAGTCGGCTTGGATAGAAGATAGATACAGATCACGTTAACGTTTGTTGATGTGTGCCTATTACCCATACAATCTATCGCATCGTTTGTAGCCATATAGAAGTGACAATAACAGCAGCGTCAGCAATGACGACGATTGAAAGGGCAATGACATACTCTCCTTCAGCTGAAATTGCCTATCCCTAGATGTCCCGCATATAACATGTATACATGGGAGAAGTGATGTTCTCGTTACTGGACGATCCCGGCGCAAGAAATGAAGACAAGGTGAAATCGTCCGTTTCTGAGAGATAGATCGAGCATCGCTAAAGAATTAACAAGATAAGCGGCGATCGTAGTAACAGCAGCAGCAGCAGCAGCAACAACAACAACAACAATAACAACGACCATTATAATTGACAAGTACTTCAATAATCGGCTATAATCGAAATAAGCACTGGTTGAAATTGAAGTAGTGGAAAACGTAAAGAAATAGAAAATTGCTGCCCGGCGTCAGGCAAGCTACGCACAGCGGCGATGGCGGAACGACAAGAAAAAGCAGGAAAGCTTCAACGCTTAACGTACGGAAACCAGCTAACAGGACGTTGACAAACTGTGCCAAAAGCTGCGTATCATGTCCTGATATATCCTTCGTATTATTATGAAAACTTTTGTAGCTGCAGCTGAACGTAAAAGAAACGCTATAGACCGACTTGAGTCCCTAGTTGGCCTCCCCGTTTCCTGCTAACTAACTATTTCATGACGGGCATCTGATATACGCGCATCTATTTCGCTACTGCATAGATGTTCGAGCGCAAGCAGCCTGAATATCGAGAATGGCTATGGCTAGAAATCATAAGGCGGTACAAGCCGTATCGGTTCCGCTAATTCACTATAAACAGATGCCCTATCCAGTCGAACCTGTCGCTCTGGACGAATTGTCTCCTTCTACTGAATGTAACAAAGTATTAACGAGCACCTAACGCTATATACCAAATGAGGTTCGAAGCTTCAACTTTGCTCTGTTTATGCATTGATGACGTCAGCTATGAGAATCGAAACAGGAGTCGTTCGCTGAAATAGCTAAGCAATAACATGAAGGGTGGACACCGCAAGGATCGACACTGAAAACCATGCTTTTTTTAGTATTATCTCATCATCTGTGCCCTAGTCAATAACAATAATTACTTCAACAAAATGGTGCTGGTTGAATTATAGCAGTGCACTAAGTATCAGCTGGTCATAGGCAAGGCGATAGGTGGCGGATCAGCGGGGCGATTTTGCGTCGGCCAATTGTGGCTGTTAGGTCGACGAAGGGACTATGAAGGACAAGATGTAAAAACTGGAAAATGAATTGTTCGTAACGCGCACGACGATAAAATCGCCTGAAGAGATAGCAAACGAAAAGAATGAGGATTTCCATATAAAATCCTCGAATAGTCATCGTAGGTTATTCGAGTGAGTGACAGAAAGCCACCAATTTGTAATTATTTGCATTTATTATTACTATTATAATTATCAGAACTTGGTCTGCCGACGAACGCTATGAGGCGATAGCGTTCCATATTAATGTTTAATGAAATAGTCACTTAACTTTGTTTGTTCGTTTAAATTAACATACGTACGCAAGCCGTCTTAGAAAAAAACTTCACTGGTAGAATGATAAAAACATTTTGAAGGATTTAATAATAATAATAAACAGCATCAAATACCTATTTTTAGATTCCTGTTTAGCGCATTGATTTGCGCCATCAAAGGTTAATGAAAGTAGTCACAGGATGCTTCATGTTTGCTTAATTTTCTGGCCTATAAAAGTATAATTTATCAGGAATGTGTCATGCAGTCTGAAGCTACAAGGTAACTGATTGTGAGAAAGTTCATATGAAAGATCGTGACTTACTTGCCCCTGATGAGATTACCTAACTAGAATGAAGTAAGCTATACCAAAAGCAGTTTAATCAGATGTTTAACATACTGTATAGTAAAAACGTTCACAAGTTGATCGCCGAGCTATTAAATACAAATTCGTATATTTATTTACATGAGAATTACAATGTACATTACATGTTCATGTATATACACCTCAGGCATGTTCCGCCCGAATGGTCAGCCCCGACATTTTGATAGCGGTCGACTTCGGTGGACGTCGAGCTAAAAACTCATGGTAAAATATCGTCCTTATATTGTTATTAAAAACATGCGAAATTTCGTCTTCGACCGATCAGAAAAGACCATTAGTCATACATAGCGTCTCAAGTCATGAGAAGCACTTTATCAATACCAACCAATGCAAAGAACAATATGAAACGTAATTATACTTTATCAAAGGTTGTATCAAAGAAAGCTTATTCAATTCAACGTTTCGTTTGCTTATCTTCCGTTCTTTGTCATCGTGCCATCTTGTCCGTGACAACAAAGCGTCTATGGGCTTAATTAGTCTAGATCCATATAGATACTCTGAGATTCTCCGTTGACGCACAGCTTTTGGGCCGCTCAACATTGACCATTGTGGCTGTTATAGAATCTACAAACTAGCAAAAGCAGGTGATTGCAGGACGCAACCTTTCCCTCTGTCAATCTAACGAACTTAAGCATCAACGCTGGCCTTACGCATCGTTAGGTATTATTTAGTATATTTAGGCTTTTAACATCTACTTTTGTGCAAATACAGACATTGGCAGGAACCCTTTGCCTTGGGTGAAAACGTATGATGTTGCGTCTTTCCTTCTCAGCGGTGAGCCTTAGCAAGCTTTCGAATTTCTGTGGCCCGCACTTGCTTACCTTAATATCAGTTAAGTCTCAGAGCAAAGGTAAAAGGATGATTTTAAATCTTCATTTTAGGGCCTTTTATCGAACCGTTGTTCTCCGATCGATAACGGATATCGTTGAATCTCACGAACGATGAGACACAAGCAGTCGATATAAAGTTCAGATCAGAAAATTTGCTGGCTTCATTGATTCCTCGCTCGCCAGAGGTGTGCAGCTAATTTCGAAGCACCTTCATTGTCGCTTTTTAATGTTACGTGTGGACAAAATCTGTACATCCGACTACTCCTTTTCTGTCTGGTCATTACAGCGGCTCCCCTAGAATTGTGTCTGATCGTGATCCATCCCATCGGCTTTCTCCTGCGAACGTCGCACTGAACGACGAATAATCGAACTTCGCTTCTTCTGAAACATTCATCGGAAAATCTTCGTTCACTTAATTCCGTTCTCAGCGCCGCACAATCACCATGATTGAGTTCACATATAAAGCATTGTATTTATCCATATAATGTTTAGATTGCTTTATGCTAGTCTTTATGCAATCCTTGTTACTGAAAAACTGTTCCCTCACTACCTGATGCATTCGATTCTGATTAAATCGGAAATTTTCCTAAACAATTTAATCCGAACGGTGATTTGTCCTGATCTTTTTTATTGGTACGCGTTAAATGGATCACAGCCAGACCACAGTCACTGCATAAATAATGCTATAACATGAAAAGATTTATTAAGTTTGTTCAGTTTACCTCGCAATTCGAAACTCGTATAATGCCCTCCTTTTATTTGCCCTGTCCTTAGTCCCTAGCCAACCACAATCTTCAGTCAAGAAATTATTTTCACACACAAAACATCATCACCTGGTTGGTGGTGATGGTAACCGATTATGGCTGAAGCGTTACGCTTCACGTCATTAAAATCGCAGAGAACTTCGATTGCCTACGAACTAAATCGTGGTTCAATTGAGATAAATAGGTCGACGGGTATTCCAGTCGTTGAAGAAGTGATCTTTGCGTTTCGTTACATACTCCAGTCGCTGTTTTGTACATGGATAGCTTTAGCGTTACGATTACGGGCGAGGCGACAGTTCGACGTCTATTCGTCGACTGGTCAGCCAGCAGCTGGTAAACCGGTCATAATTGAATCCTCTGATGGAAAAACCGTCAGCCTTAAGCAGATTTCACTTAATGCGTCATGTTTATTTCCACCCGTTTGGCTCTTTGATGATCGATTTTGAAGGGTTGAACGACAAAAATAGGTAAGCGTAACAAATTAACAAAGGGGATTTCAGCGGAATTAGACTCTAGAGAAACATGCTCACTTTTCAGCTTCGCTTTTGGAGCGGTAACGCTAAGCGGGACGCATGGTAGGGGTCACAGAGGGAGATATATATATCAAACGATTACTATCATATCCCTGTTTTATGTGAGATGGGATATTTTCAGCATTGACGTCAATGGCAATCAGATATGCCACAGGTTCATACACGGTACATGCCTCAATAATGTGCGTCAAAATTGCTTGCGTCAGCAGCATCAACTACACCGGCGGCGGGTGATGCGAGAGGAGGTGTGGAGCAAGTCCGTCAGCATTTTGGTAAAATTGGCAAAAAGGATGACCGTGTGGCCTTGACCGAATTCATTTTTTCATTATTATTTTATCACTTATTCGTTGCCCTTACTTCTCTGCTGTAATTGGCTATTTATTTTCTGAATAGAATCCTCGTGAGTGTTTTCGGTTTGGCAAACACCAAAAGCGACACACGCACATATACAGGTGTGCAACAAGTGCACGTATTATACAGACTTCTAAATACATGGTCATCATCTATCGTGCTATCAGCTGCGTTGATACTCATGTGCTATTATTTAGCCCATGATTATCGCTAGTTCGGTAGCCCATGTTAAATCTGAACCCGGTTGATATATTTAGCATATTTATAGGACATACGTCTAAAATCAGTGCCAGGCACGTGTGCGAATAATCCGTTGCCTAAAGGCAACAAAAGAACTTTGAATACTGCCAGATCGTAGTGATTAAACGCTTGTAGGCTATACTGTATCGCTTGAATCGAGACTGCAAGAAAAACCGAGGGTCGGTCCGTAAGTCTGTTGTACGAAATGAAAGCCTAACATTACTAGGTGTGTCGTCTGTTCTACATAGAACATAGGCGCTATGTTATATGACAACTACAAACGAAAATTAATCTAGTCCCGCCTTTGATAAAGGGCACATGCTTAGCGAATGTAGACGATCGAACCTGGTCGAGCAAGATGAAGCTGAGAATTTACAATTTTTAAAAATATTATCCTTTCATGAACATTAAATTTTCCAAATAGATACGAGTAATGGTTTGCTAATTTTATCTTTTACGTCATTTCTGATAGAAAGGCCCCCCGAACACGATACAGTCGTTGTTTGAGCATTGCGCGGTACAAGGGGTGTATTTTTCATCTGAACGTAATATGCAAGAACTATTACCTTTGAAATAAACTGTTCCTCTAAGGGTCGTAGGATGTCCATACATGAGACATCAGGATTATAGCGCAGAAGCATTGGAAGGTCTCCCCGGTCTTCGGCAAAGGACACCCGTTTCGATCCACGCGGGCCTCGAACGTCCGATGGACAATCACCCGTTGAAGAGGACTTCTTGAGTAGGGACCTCGGGAAGACTACCTGTCCACTGCCGCCACCGCCTTCTAAACTGCTCGACGGGCTTAACTGAAAGGAGGGTACAGAATGTCAAGCAGAACATTGATGCAGGTTAAGTAAGGAAACACCTAAAATCTTCACTTTCAGAGATATTTGCACCAAATGAAATAGTCCACGGAACGTCTCGTCGATGGCACCAACACAGCAATCTACAGTGAAACAAATTAGTGAGCCGAATAGAATTATAGTTGTTCGTTAACGAAATTAGACGAAGACGATACTGTATATATACGAATCTGTACGACTAAGCAAACTCTTACGCTGGAACGCAGAACCGTGATAATCATCTTGGCGGCGTGTGTACGAGATCTGTACGTTATTGTAAGATAGGTTTGCTGTGTAGCTTACGGGAGCTTGGTTAAATCTGGCCTTAATGGAGGATGGCGTTTCTCAGCGGTTCGCGCGAGGCGAACGCGCTCACTCTCGCAGGAAGCATCCGTCATCGTGGCAATGGCTTTTTGCCATCCCAGGTAAATAAACGCACCTCATTGATTGAGTGGTTCGTGTCGAAAAGGAAGGAACTACACTGAACTTTAGTCCTGGCCGTCCAAGTGTAGAATAACGACATAATGAGTAAACGGGTAAAGTTTTTTGTAGTGGATAAAACAGGCTTGCTTTCAAAAATAACCCTCACCAGGTCACACGCGCAAGCATACGTGCACAGACATACACACACCACCTGGAGGCATCCGAAACCTGTAATCATTCCTAATAATATACGACCGCTATTCATCTTACCCTATGGATAGTCATAAAGAAGGGCCTAATCAGCGTTATTTCTAGTAAAATATTCCTACACTTTAAATCGTCAACAACAATTGCGTCAGCGGTACAAACAGATACATGAATATGAAAGGTAAGTAGAGGAAAGCACTCGAAAAGCCGAGATTATGCCAGCCACTTGGCAACGTATGTCAACAGTAAACATCCTGCAGAATGCGTGTCCGCTTCAGGCAAGCAGAAACAACTTGAATCAGTACAAAGTCTCTATGATAGAGCGGACTTTGTTCTTTTTTTGCGACAATTACATCCTCACGCACGTACTCTTCCCAATTCGGTGTGTTAACGTGTACCATACGGGCGGTTTTCCTTGTGACTCGGAAAAAAACTATGTTACCACGGAACCCATCGTTGTTTCCAATCTAGAAGCCCTCCCACCAAACCTTTCTACGGCATGAGAAGCGACTATCTGAGGTATCTCAACAAATGTTTCGAACCAATTTGGACAGCTTTTCCTTTTGTTCCACTTGCCTCCCTCGTTCGAGGTCAAGTTATCTTGTTCACGGCCGCATCTAATGGTCACTCTATGGCGGTTATACGTTGAGTGGCATCTAGGTTAAACTCGACGGCGCCACTATCGAGAATGAAAACGTGAGCACACACACGTTGAGTCAGCGTTATTCGTTTTTATGTGACCTGCTGTGTTTTGTGGGAAATACAAAATAAGGAAGTGGATGATCGACAGAGTTTTATTTTTAATCTGCCGACATAAGCGTGTAGAGATACGCGATGGCACGTACAAGGAAATCGTTCATTGACTGAGCTCTTGATACAACGATGCAATCACGACGCGCTGACCAATTAACTTCGTTGTAATAGGCTTGGGCAGTTGCTTCTCAATGGCGACCGACCAAAATAGTTCGTGATACATATATAGGCAAGAGGTGTTAGCAGGATCTAAAAGACTGCAAACAATGTTTCAAGAAGCAGACATTCTACAAAAGAAAGTTGAGTTCTAAGACACACGCTAAGCTTAAATGACCTTTTTCTAACCAAATATGGTTGCGGTTAGCTCGTTAAGGTTATAGAGCGTGTTACTTAGCTTTACTAATGGTTCATAGCCATGTTCCGCTGCTGACAAGTTTTATGTAAGGGAATATGTATGTATTTAAATGACGCTTTTCTTTTTCATCGGAAACTTAACGTGTTTCCCATTATTAAATTATTTGATCACACAGCTGGGTCATCATTTGAGAACAGATTCCAGGCTATAAGTTAATGTATCAAACTATAATCAAAGGTCAATAAAATTCACTAGATATTTCAATGAAATTGCCGAATCTAACCCTAACTGAAGCCCCTGATAAAAATAGGAATCAAGCTTCCTGAGTTGCGTCTGAAGTAACCGCAAGGAGCGTGAAAAAACGTGTCGTATTCATAGACGTGTTAGCTAAACGTGTGGCGGCATATGGCCAGACAGCAGCCGTTGCTTTTTTCGGCGGCTGTTGGCTGGGGGCTTGCCATCTGATGGGTATAGGATAGCGAGGTAGGTACAGGTCCCAAAACGTATTTCCTCTTGTTTCTTATCGCTGTACGCCTCACACTTCTGTCCACAGCTGATGGCAACCACCACGGCAGCTGATTCACCATGAAAAACTTCCACGATCGCTTGGTGCGAAAGTCAGTCGGAATCTAAACCACGGTCACAGCAGCTGCCGCGGCGTAAGCCAACCGACAGACGGCCACAAAGAGCGAGAATCCCGGCAGATGAGAAAAAGTCTACGTGTTTGTGTGTGTGTGCGCGTGTGTCTATGATATTCTGTGCCTGAGAAAAGCCATTGTACGTCTGTGTATTAGTCACAGGCTGTTTCTCTTGACGGTTCCCGCGTTTCTATGCCTGTGTACATGAAGTCGTTGTAATGAGTATTGGTGGCAACGAAAAGTAATGGCCATCGTCTCGAGCCTGCGGCGAAGACAAAGAAAAGCTTTGCACCATCACTACTGCTGCCAGCTAAACTTGTCGCTGACGCTGTCGCTGCTATGGCGACCGCAGCAGCGTCGGCAACAGTCACAATAGCCCGTCAACGAGATTCGTTTGCCGAGCATCCGTTGTTGTTGTTCGGTAACGGTAAGTGGCGCTAACGACAAAGACAAAAAAGAAACAAGAACAACCACGATGACGACAACGCAGACGACAATAACAACGAGTAAGTCGGAGTCAAGCAGAAATAGCTCTTACTTATGAATGCTAGCTGCTCCGAGGAATAAAGATTATGACCTGCTGCTGCACCAGCTGTGGCATACGGGCTGAACGGCTACACAGTAACCCCAATGGCACACTATGCGACGGCGATTACTGCTGGTAATCTACGACGATAGCTGATAACGACAACTCTGACAACATTAAATGACTTAGGACTCAAACGACGAACGCTATCGTCGTCGAACAAAATTGAGTCCGAGAGATACTAACTGTTACAGCGGCGATAGCAACAATAATTGCCGGGCGATACCGCAGCGGAACAAGGACGCTCTGTGGCCGTCATTTCTGAACAATAACGATGACGACAACAACTGCAGTAGTCTGCAGAATACTCAGCACCTACGGCCGTACGTACCGCTACGACAGCATCGGTAAATGACGCTCGTGATGGCAATAGCTTTAATAACATCAGCAACAATACATAGGACTTGGATAGCATTTAGGAGCTGACTGAGAAGATCATGATGAAGACATATGATGCCGAGAAGCGTGCAGATAATATAGCTAACAATGGGTTATAGCTAAGGACAATGGTGTCATCTCGTATTCGTCGCACGGCATGGCAGGGCGATACGAGCGCCACCGCCACCGCCGCCGTTGCAGCTGCTGCTGTTGACGGGTAATTTCTCGTCTCATAGCGTGTTAATCGCTATTGACGTTGCTCGTTAAGTGATCGCGCAGGACACAACGAGTAGGGCCGGTGTACTTGGCCGGCGGCTGCAGTCGCCGAGTGTCGTGGTGTCAGACACCGTAACGATCATTTTCGTAAATACACCAACAGTAGCAACATTATAGCTTCGTTTACCCCTGGCTGTATTTGTCGTCGTATGCCTAGCGCAAGCGCCACGAGCAACTCGAAGAACAGCGTGCGATTATCTGATGTCAGGGAGGCGTTAACTCTGAGCACGTTTGCATGCTGATATACCGTACTACAACATGGCGAAGGGCCGAGGCGCTGGAGAAGCTATATTTCTTCTGTGGGTCAGTCATCGACCTACCGATGTGATAATATATGCCGCTCCAGTATATCCTATGCGAATCTAAACGATATTACCGCCGTATTATAGGAATATGCTGTATCCATGGGGTTGAACCGCACTTGGAGATGTTTATTCTGCCATCAGCTGGATAGGCACAACGTTCAAGTGGCCACTCATAGACGTGTAACTAATGGACTGGTTAACCATCATGGCCGGACGAATGCTGGCATATATTTATATACATGTCTTTATACGCATATCTAATATGAAAGAATTGATAACGCATGACCCAGTTGCACGGTGTTAGGTCGCTGAAGAGACGCATGCCTAATAGGTTCGGCGGGAGCTGTACTGCCACTGAATGCGATCAGGCCGAAGACTGATCCTTATGATAGACTGGTAATGTTGCGAGTTGCAAGCAACAAACCGGAACACAAACGTCCACGAACGCAGAATCGGAGCGCAGATATTTGCTCATTGTATATTCCGCCAAGCTGAACTAGATATTTGGCACACGTGCAGAGTGTACCAGGCAGATCAGGTGCTATTTTTGCCGATTGTTAGATCTGACGTGGCACTCCGTGTTCGTAAGATAGCTACACCATACATGTAGTAACAATAGCTTATTAAAGTTCGCCCAAAGAGCGAATTTGGTTTGTAGCCGAGAGCCGTTTTCCTGCTAGAGTTAAAATAGAATGAAATTATGGCAGAAATATTTGGACAGCTACCGTAATTAACTGGTAGCGATGGAAGAACGGTACTGTCGACGAAAATACTAGTTAATAGCACGCGAAGAACAGCTAACGCGGCAGCTCGAGCGCATCGAGCTTGTGAAGTAATTCCCAGCTGACAGCGTCGACTTCGATGACTGTTGAAAAATAAACGATGCAACGATACTGACATCCATGTCCAGAGGGATAAAAGACTGCTTTTGCACGTTGCACAGATCTACGGACACCGCATGCGCATGCGGAAAGGCCAATTGAACGTCTGCGTGAAGCATATCTATGATTCCGCTTTACGCAACGCAGCGGCCACCATCGAGAGTCGCATGTTGTCCTCCGCTGCGGAATATGAACATTAATGAATAGGCCGACATACACAGAGATGAGCAGTCCCCAGACAGCTCTGGCCATAATCAACGGGTCCTTCTCGCTGCTGTCACACGACCTAACCGACTGCGAGGAATCAGTCTTAGTTCATTTCTAGCCAACCATTACCACTATGGACGTTACCGGCAACGCCGACGACATATCTCGATAGCTGCTTCAGATCATTTGCGTTGGTTCGCTTTCAAAAAAAGCGAAGTTCGTTTAACGAGACACATAAGGAAAAACGAAAAAATGACGCGAGCAAAAACATTGTTATAAATGCTTTGTAAAGGCGTTACGCGTACTGTGAACCCGGGTCAATCTTTAGCTGAGCACAGAGGCCGGTCTGCAATAAGGTAACCGTACACTGCCAAACGCTGCACAACACGGAGCGATGCGATGCTTTGTTACGTTCGAGCCGTCTTAGCTGTAAGGTGTGATAGGTGTATCTTAATATGGAAGTTAACATCGATGTCCATTTGATTCATACGCTGATACGTGGTCTTTCCGTGCATGGGGAGATAAGCATATACTGTAATTGGTCTTAATATGCATGAGGAGAATACTCGATAGTCTGTGGTCCGGCCGGTGACCGGCGTGCCATAACACGAAAATTCGTCGGTGAAATTTGCTGGATCTGCGAGGAAAATGACTACATTTCCTATAGAAAGGTAAATAGTCAACTGGTGGTTAACATTAAAAGTGTGCATGTGAAGCCATTTAAAATTATGTGTGCATTCAGATAGCAACATGTTATCATGTCGGGCCATTTTATCACCGTAGCGGCGTCGTTAATATGCGGATATTGACGTTTGCCTTTTAGGGTTCAGCATTTCCAATCTATAATGGATTACCGTTCTTCTATTTCATTTAACGAGGAACCAAGGATATCTAAAAACAACTATGAATACAATGGTAAAATGTGTTCAACACATTATGGACTCTATTGCATATATTATCGGTTTCGCATATTCGACGTGGCAGCTCAGGCTCAAATCGACGGGCTGTCCAAATAGGTCTAAGCTGTATCCCTCTTAACTCATTACATTGAATCGCTTAAATATAAGCGCGGATCTCAGGCAAATCGAGTTCCAGCTCATTGGTATTGTTTTCCGTTGTATACAGGTTGTCGATACTTGCACGCGTCTTAACCAACGTCGTTTTAGCTCTTGTCTTGTTTTACTTCAGTTGTACCTACACTATACTCAATACATTGTGTACTGTCATATGGTAGGTGGAAAGTATAATATTATTTATCTATTTGCGCTTACAATTAGTGGGTTATGGCGGAGCGCGGTAACGCGCTGAGCGCAGGGGCTGAGCTCGATGATCTCCTCGATGATTTCCTCGATCTCCACCTCCCCCTCTTCATCGCCGTCGCCATTGGCTTCATCGTCTTCGGTGTCGTCAGCATCACCATCGACTTCTTCAAACGACTCAACGTCCTCATCAGTCGCCTCGAGATCCTCTTCGCCGGATGAAGGCTCCTCAACAATCGGCGTAACAAGTGGCTGATCCTGGCCGGTTAACTTCATTCTGTAATAAGACGGGTAATGATGACGAGCACGAAATGCGCGAGCAAGCGCAAATTAACTATTATTAATGCGCTAGCGTTAAGCTGAACTAGAATTTGGCGGCGGTGGTAGCTCAACAGTACAATAGGAGACTCGTTTAAATGCTTGACCGAATAGTACTTCACGACCTGAGTGAGAACCGGCTCACATTCGGTTTCTCTACAGCATTTTTCGAACTGGTACAAAAGCCTGCCTAACTAACGTCATTTCTCACTGTCCCCAAACAGTCACGAGCATTGTTTGTTCATAAGATGCACATACGGAAACGCACGCGCGCACGTAACTGTTAAATCCTAGACGCAGCTATCGTCGCTGTCGTTCACCGATGCTATTGCATTGGCTTTAGAACAGCGAAATGATCGGGGTCCAGCAGAGCCAGTTGGCACGTACTAATGATGTAGCCAAGCCTCGTTTTGTGTGTACCAGGCCCAGTCGATGGCGCCATGATGGGGTTTCCAACCAACACCAACTGTTACGGGGGCCAGAGGTCAAATAAAAGATAGATATGGTCATAATCAGTGCAATGGCGGCGCCAGCGGTCCAGGTTGGCACTATAATAGGTAATGTAATCGCCACCACTCAACTTGAAACCCTTAGCAATCCTCTATCTATTACGCTCGATTTAGTGCCGTTGCCGCAAAAAAACTACGGCAACAATAGTTTCTCATCAAGGGCAGAAAAAGCCACAGCGTATTCGATGTCTATCGCGTTCGATCTATGTATCACTGAATATGATACCGTTGTACCATGGTGCCGCGTAACGTGGCTACACTCTCGCATTGGTTATTCCAGTGGGTTCGAATTGGATCGCGTAAGTTCGCTAATAACCGTTCCACCAAACACAGACAGTCAGGCAGCTGCTAAATATAGAACGGGAACGACTGCGTTGGGTAACCAAAACCGCCGTCATTTAGACACCTTTGCCTTAAGTAAATATAGATGCATGGAAAATTGCTTCTTTCGTCGGTTCACAATGGTAGCCATGGCGGCGACAGATAACATTCACAACGGTAAGTCTTGTACTGGCCAGAGAATGTAAAGGTAGAAGGCCGGGAGCCAGAAACTGCCCATCGGCATTTGACGCAGCGCAAACCTTAACCGCAGGGGCATGTTTCAGCTCAGTGGGCCGCACGTGAGGGAGCGATTGCGCGTACTAACGAGATGTTCAGCTGGAGCTGGAGAGGCTACAAAGAGATGCCCAATAATCTAGAAGGACACCTAGTAACTAGGCAATTGGATTTATCTAGCCACGAGGGAGTGCCTAAAAGAAGACATAAGGCGCGAGATTGAGGGGATGGGTTTTCCGTGTTAGCAGAGTTCAGAGAGCAAAATAGAGCTCAATTTATTAATTTTATGTTGGTTATGTAGTAAAAGAATAGACCAAAGACAGGCAAATGGGTCTATTTTTCTAGAATATTGAGGATTTACTTTTGTATATATGAGATCTTACATAAATCATCGGTGTATTGGTCCAGAATCTATCGATATATCGAAAATCGCTGACAGAACAAATGAGCATCATTTACGCCATGCCAAGAGTTTAGCCATATAACTTTGTTATTGAAACACACATCGTTTGGAGCGAGTTGATCTTGTCAGTGAGCTGTTTCACTTGTTTATTGCACTCGTGCCGTATGTCCGCAAGTTCGTTTTCACGAGCCATATTCAGCTCTTTGATTTCCTTGTTGAGCCTTTCTTGCCAATACAATTCGACGTTTCTGAAAAAAAAATGCAAGCAAATAAACATCGTATATAATAAGATATTCAGTTACTCGACCGAAGGTGTAATTATTAGTATTATAACAGCCAAAGACAAATTGCACGTCACGTTATATATCGAGCCTTACTTATCCTCTATATCGTATCATATATTTTGCCAGCGAATACATGATTATCAAGGTGTCCGTCGCTTTGGCGGAATAGGACGACCGATGATTAGCTATTGGTTCGATGGTACTCGGCATTGCAGCGAACCAACGCGCGTGCACCACTTCCGTAGCGTCTTGTCCTGCCACGTAAACACTAATACGGTAATTCAATTGGTTTGTCTGCTTAATTGTGTAGTAAATGATTAGTTATGATTTACTAATACTGATGCTGTACATGACAGGACAGTCTCGATGACGGATAGGTGTGAGCAGCAACGACACTGTAGATATAGTTTTTTCGGTTATTTGATCAGCATATATCGTAGGTACGCGTACACTCGATGTACACAATCGAACAAAAGGTTGTTAGTTGACTTGTTTACTTAAGCATTGGTGCTATCTTGCTACTGAATCAGGACTGATGTCCTAACAGCATTGTACAGTCACTTGAAAGGCAAGACGTAATGTAAAGTGTAAAACATTACATAGGACACAACATAAAATTGAACTGCTAGCCTCATGTGCATCTCGAAATCCCTGACCCATTCGGGTCCTGATGCTCTTGCAACCTACTAGCTAGCGTACGGCTAGTAATAGGTTGTCGTCCAGGTATCGAATTGCTGCTGTTTTTCCCCTGCTCTGTTTTCCATTTGTCAACTTCTAAGGTCTAATTATCTGTTGACGTCTGTTGAATGCTAACATCGACGTTGATATTGGGCTGTATATGACTAGCGACCAGTGTTTTTGGCTCTATACATAAAATTGAGCCAATTGAGATTTCTGTTTAGGTGGCATAGTATTACTGCTGTAGCTGTTATCAGTGTCGTTTCGATATCATCGCTTGCTATCAGTTTCAGTCGGCCTTCTTCTGCTGCCCTCACGCTTCAGGTAGACATGTCACTAAATCGTTACTAGAACAGTACGAATTTTATTTGCGCAATGGTGCGTGATGACCAGCGAGGTTTTTTTCTGCTGCTGATTATTCTGATGATAATTTTTTCGGCGATCAATCTAACGAAAAAGATCCAGGGTGATAGCTTATTACGATTCGATCTGGTAATAGTAATACTTATACCGAAGTTATAACGAATTATGCCGATACAGCCAGCGTTGCTGTTGCTGGAATTAGTGTCAAAATGAGGATGCCGGCAATGACGACGACGCGACATTGGTGCTGATCATGGGGACGAAAAGCCAATAGGAGGCGACGGCAGCAACGGCATAAACAGCCGTAGTAACAGTAACAGCCGGCGCAAGTAACGAGTTCGGTAAGAAAACACAGGGTGTGTAGTGACGGGTATGGTATAGCGAGGATCCCAGCAACAGCAGAACGAAACGAAACATCAACACCAGCGATAAGAGAAACTAGTTACATGAAGATGCGGAATGAACTGTTACTCTTTGCCAACACTACCGAAAGCAATGGCAGCAGTAAAAAAACAGAGATGCATGCCTATGCCAAGCAGCATCAACGGTTTAGTCGAAAGAGCAAACGCTCTTGGGCATTACGGTCACGATGGCCATGAGGACAAGGCAAACTGGCAACGAAGTCCTTCCTGAGAGAAGCGCGGTGACAGATGCTACCGTTACGAACAGTCTGTAATGTCTGCTTATTATCCTATGCAGTCGGACTCATGCATTGGGCACGTGCAAAGGCACGCGGCTACAGTTATAGTATCATTGGTGTATGTGTATAAGTACCACTCTGGGAGGTTCGGCAGGGGTGGTCGCTTCGGGTGAACGCTGAAGCTGGTTGGCAAATACGCAGTCCTAATAATTCAACTACTGTTGAGTTTGCTTTTTTACTCGTGACGCTAGTTCGCACAGTTAGTGGGGTCGATAGACATAAAGCTAATTCTTTCGGTGCTGTACATTATTGGCAATCGCTAGATAAGACGCAATACCTGCCGCTTTTACCAGATCTGACTAGCTATTGTTTGAGGGTGGAAGGGTGTTGGCCTCGATGACCCGTTTTACCAGTCACTCAAATCCTCTTTTCTTCTCGAACATATAGAGGCACTTACTGCCAAAGACCGAACTGCACAAGAACTCGTCATAGGCGATCCTTTTATTTTCACTATCTAGTTTAGAAGAGAGACATGAAATCGTTACGGCATAGAAAAGGGAACAGCGTTAAAAGATTGTATACAGATGCGAAATACATTGACGTATATTGTACCGATATCCGGTGCGAACGTTTCCGCCACGCACTTCGATTAGGTTTTACCTCATCCAGTTTCCCTCATGTAGCAACTATTTTAGACGGCCCTCTATTTTCTCGATTATAAGAAATCGCAATACTATCATAACAGTAAATATCATACACATATACGACTCGGTAAGGGACGTAAGGGTTGAGTAAACAAGAGTAACTGCTGTGTAATTCTTACAGCTTAGATTCCTTGAAAGTTCGAACATAAATTGCGATGAAATGAGCCCAGTCGAAGACGCTGGTTACCTTCAGGAGGAGGGATTATAGCGAAAAGTTTTTTGCAATTAGCTTTTTACTTCAATCCGTTGAACATATACAACATAGTATTTAGAATTATTGAATTTAAGTTAATTAGGTTAAACCCTATCAGCACTTGGATACTGCTGTTTTTAGTCTATTTTTTCCGTGGATGCGCATTATGCGATGCTAGAAGCGATAATTCTGGGATGTAAACTGCTGGACATATCCTTCGTGAAAACGAAATTTAAGAAATGGCCAAATATCAACTACAAACTGATTAATGATATCAGTGCAAAAATCACATCGGACCTGATTTGGTTAGAAGCCTCCGTACGAACTTTGATTACTTCGTCCTGCTTCTGACGAAGTTGGTCCTGGACTTCACTGAGTTGTAGCTTAAACTCTGCCAGCTTTTCGCTGTCTTCTAGATACTCTTGAGCGTTGGCCGAGGAGGCGCTCGATGAAAACGATCTTCCGATGAATGCTTGAACACCTTTATCTGTCTGCATTGTAGGAATCGAAGAGAGTAAAAAAACAATCGATTAGACAATAAAAGTAAGGCCAATAATGATTACACATTATCCGAACATCTGTATGTTATTTACTGTCGCATAATATTCTGAGGCGGTGGGCTCGACTAGGAGGAAAACCTGACCTATTTATGAAGTCCTGCAATCCGCACAACGAGACCAACGCCGAGAATACCTTTTTAAATTGTTAAAGAAACCTATTAAATGGTTAATAGAATAGTCCTATATCGTTTAATGTTACAAGGAATTCAGTACAACATTTAGACCCGTCCACATTAAAAAAAATTCTGGAAACGTACCAAAAAAAAAAAGGTAGCCATTGTGTCATTTACAAAATGTTGATGTTCTCAGTGAAAACGTCGTCCAAAACCGGGTCACCTGAACAATCGTCGATTTCCGCCAATTCTATCAAAAAGACCCGCGTCTCGCAAACATGTTCTTTCAGAAATAAATTCCCATATCAGGGTATCTCTTGTTGAGAAAACGACTCAATATCATGGGACTTTTACATTAAGCATCGTTCAAAAGCATCGTCACAGATATGAACAGAAGTGGCAGGACATTCCGATGACATAATACACTTGTTCAGTTCGATCGCTTGGCCCTAGACCTATCGATTTAAGGTAAGGCTAGCGAAAAAAAAAGCATTGATATTGACAAGGTTCAGCAATACGCGTGTGGTAAACATGAACCTTCGCTGTTAAATACCGGTTTAGACGAATTCGAATTTAGTAAGTTCATCGATTTCCAGTACTGAAACGTCCAGGAAAAGCGGGTTATCAACAGAAGCTGATTTTGTCGACGACGTCGCGAGCTTGAACGACTACAGCTCATCCCAGCGAAGATACGTAGCGGGATGTGTAATAGGATAATATCGTCACAGCCTTTTGCAACTTTTGTTAACCGCAAACCACCGTCGTCCATACTACAGCTGACTAGAGTCAAAGGTTTTATCTACGTTGTTGAGACTACTACTATGACTGATGAAACGGCTATCGTAGCAGCTGCTGCTGCTGCTGCTGCTGTCAAAACGAAAAGCCGTGTTGTCATTTCGCGATTTTTTCGTCAGATTAGCTCTGAATGACAGTGGCTCCCCCTATAAGAAGCGAACGGTAGCTCCGGCCGTCAGCCAACTTCATCGTCATGTGAACAAAAGAAGACGACAAAGAACAGGCAAAAAAGCCTGCGAGAGAATTGTATCTTCTGCGTTATAACGGTAGAAGTTTTCTGACAGAACCAGCATAAAGTCACACAGCCAGCCAGAGAAGCCAACCTTACCGCTGACCTATGTCACCACGGTAGGAGCTCGCTGCACTAAGGATTGAAGCACGATGAGACATCAGCCCTTGAAGACGTCAGAAATTTGAGTTAGCCGTCAACGTCTTGGTGAGTGCCGCTGTTGTCATTGCTTGGAGTGAGCGATTTGAATATATGCTTCGGCAGGGAAGATGGCGCGTGCTCTTATAATGTTGCGTAAGTGGACTTTGCGCGATGCGAAATCGATAAATAGGTGGGAGTCAGTCTTGTCAATTGGCATATCGTGGCCAGAAGATCCGAGAGGTACGAAAATCTCTGACCTGATGGCAATAGAACCGCATACTGTGTGTAACAAATGCTAGAAATCGACTAATCTAATTATATGTTTCGAGTTGTTTAGTTAAAAATAATTCTCAGCGCTTCCGGAACTCTCTCATCACGACAACCCCCGACGCATCTATAGACATCTAAACAGTGTACCATTTAGCTCGTAACGTGTCCCCGATATTGAACTGACAACGAGAGATAGCGCGTTGTTCTATAGCACAATATAAACTATTTTCGACTTCAATGCTCATCAAAGGAATTCAAATATGGATCGTTAGAAAATAAACTATATTTGAAATACATCGAAACGTGATTCGGGACTTCGGAAGCATTCACATACAGTCGTTTGGTTATGGTTAATTAGCGGACGTCTGCACAGTTCGAAAAAAACCTACGCTTGCTTACTAGGTACGCCATCGACTAGGTACGCCAGTCTGGTAAATGCCACCCTCTTTTTGGCTAAAATACGCCAACTTCGCTACGTTGCCGCCGCTGAAGTGAGAGAAGGACGATTTTCGCTATGGAATCGTGTAATACTCCGAAGAAAGGAATAACAACCTGAATAGGTGTCTGGCCAATAAGTATATTTTGTAGCCCCATTCGAAAATAACATTGGAGAGACGATGGAAATCCTTTTCTACATTCTTTTTTTATTAAATGTACAGCCAAATAGGCCGAGAAAAACGGTAGACTAAATAAACTGAGTTCGCTCAGAGCGATAGCATTTGTACTTATTGTTCGATCCCACTATGCGTCAGAAAAATACGAGACTTTTACAAACTGTTCTGTTTATTTGCTTTGTAACTGTTCTGTTTATTCAGCACGAAACAGAATGTATCAGGACCAGCTCAAACGCATGAAAAGTCAGTGATTGATATTCCACAAAACATGAGGGGCCAATAGCGCGAGTAGAACATTTCAAATCTCCACATCGCGTATTGCCCATGGTAATCACACAGAGGCCCATACATACAGTATCAAGACCCAATCCTGACTGTAAGCATGAAAGTAACCCCAAAGTTAATCGAATAGTCAGCCGCTTTTGAATCAAAGGGGCAACTTGAGAATAGCCGTACTGAGAAACATTGCCATTTGCTCAAAGCACTGCTTATGTTATCAACTATTGAGAGACTCTGACAATGACTTGAGCTCTCCGAAACTCAAGATACAATATGGATAAAGGCCTGACGGCGAGCGACAGGCTGGTTTTTCTAAAAAACATAGAAAAACATTACACCTAACGAAACCTGATCTTAGACCTCAGAAATCGACTTGAAACCAGCGCTCACGAGAAGGACCATCCGCTATAAATACACGTGCAGGCTTGCCAGTCTGTAATCCATCTTCGAAACAACAAAATTCCAACCATAATGAACGCATACAAATGGCTGAATCACTTCGTTTTTCTCTACTTCGGTGGGTTCAAATATTGCGCGCAGGCTGGCTGATAATCGTTCATTTCACTCCGTAAACCTAAATGCCGCGAGTGGACACGATTAAGACTGTAATCAACCTAATCTATTTGGGCAATTAGTAGACTGTTGTCGTCGCTGCTGCTGTCATGCTTACCTTTATGACACCGGTCCCGCAATCAGGTGAAGAGCTCACTATAATGACACACAAATAAACAGCAATAAATTATTAATGTATATAAACACATTAATTATAATAACATCGACATAATTTCATGATACCCTGCCGTGCTACATAAAAATTGCTTCTATCGAATGAAAAAATTAGAGCAATTTTAAATCAGTGTGACCATCATCATCCCATCCATCTCGTCTATCGCTGAGTAGACAAATTGGCGATATCTAAATACAAATAATATATTTTCGCTACTCAAGCCGTTGTGGCTGGTACGCACGTCTATATCTTTTCGAAATCTCTTCTAAATAATTGTTCTAAATAGTGCTTAACAGAGTGCTCATGGATGAGACCACTATCAGGGCTTTTCGTTGGGCACGGTCCATTTGTCAAGCATTAATTATGAGGCACTCTTAAAAACAGACAGAACTATATTAATAACGGTAATTTTACAATGTCGATAAAAGCTGCAGAAGTAAAAGGTAGAAGGGGATAGACGATAACGGACAATAATAAACAACCAAAGCGGTATCTTGAAGTGGCAAATGTAGACGTGCGGCGAAAATGTACTGCCATTGTACAACGAGTGGCTTTTTGCAGTTCGATCGAGGTCGAGCTGATGTTGGGTTTGCCAAATTCTGAATATTTAATGCTGGACACTGACCGGACCCCAATCCGTTACGATAGCCCAAAACGCACCAATTAAACGAATCATGCATACTCCATTGTATTACATGGTATTATAGACAGGCGATAGCGCATCTATCTGTTTTAGCCCTGTCCACATCAGGGTACTTCTTCTAGGTTTATGTAGATAATATGACATAACGTTCGCACGAAAACGACGTCTTGCGCCGTTGTTACTGTTAGTGATATGGTCGTCAAAGTGCCTTAGATACTTCGAGACGGGTCGTTTTTGCTAGGGAATGATGCGGCATCTTAGGTTCAATAAGGCAAAATCCAGTGCCTGATGATTTCAAACTATTTTTTTTACAGCAGATGGATTGACAGTGATATATGATATCAAGCAACATGGGGGGACCAGGGATAAAACCTGACTAACTCTGTCTATAATAGTTCTCTTAAGTAGAATGACAAAAGGCTTCTTTTTTCTATTCTAAATATGAAGTCCAGGACAGAAAGCATGAGTAGACATAACTGGCGTTATGTCTCTTTTCGAATGATATGTGTATATATGCAATAGATTGCAATGCAGAATTTTCAAAGAATCTCCCCTCTATTTGTATCGGCGACCACATCTTACTAGTAGAATATTTGGGCTATTATGATTTTGTTTGCAGTATAATCAGCAGACGAGTCAGTTGGAAATTTCCACCCGATATATTTCAAGGATAATTGGTCGCCATATAGATATCATATTAATAGCCATAAATTTATATGTTGCCTCAACAGCATGGCCTTTATGGTTGACTCACGTTAAGCAGAGCCGGGCGCTTCTGCGTGACCACGTAGCCACTCGCTCGGTAGCGCCTAGATGCTGCCGGCGTAATTCGTACTTCTGGTAGTGGTTTTATGTGTATTTTATGTTCTAAAGGACATTTACAAATAGTAGCACGTCCATTCCCTAAGAGCCTGCAGTGTGATTTCGTAATTTTTGTTCATACAAAGATCCACAGTAGACTTAATCTTCACGCAGGTTTACCTATGCAGGCTCATGGCATCACTTAGTCTATCGGAAAAATTTTACGAATATTTACTAAAATTTGTTAAAGCTCTGTTAGGTGTTAGGTAATTAAGGCACAATTCGTCCTGAACTGCCTGCTCCATATGCGCATTATCAGCCACAGTTAATGATATTAAAGATGATAAGCGGAAAGACCTCTCACTAGCAGAAAGAGGGTTAAATAGAAAAAAAATTCACCATCTCATAAATTTGAGGCATTGTTGTACCGTTTCCGAAAGCCTAAACAAGACGCCTATTGTTATTTTTGTGTTTTGATTTTCTAAACGGCGTTAGCCTATCGCATCCGTTAAAAATACTGTGTCCTTTGATAAACGGGAGAAACGGTAGGTGGTTCGACACCTGTTTCAGATCTGCAGGCGAAGCATTGGCCTGTTCGTTTAATGCTCAATGTAGGAAGAATAAAATGCCGTACTTACTGCACTCTTTAATACGGAAGGAACTTTTTGATAGCTATTCAAATTTGACATAGGAACTTTATTTCCAAAGTAGTATACTGTACGCCGTAGTGCACGATCGATACGTTTGGGAAATATATTTTTCTTCCTTCTATAACAGCACATAAGAAGAACTTAGCTAGACTAATTGGGTACAATGCTTTGCTTGCAACAAGCTAAATCGGATTGTCTTTACTCAATACAATCTAAGTAGAATTTATTGAAATTAAATTTGCTTGACAAAAGACGAAGCTCCCAAGCCTTTTACCGCAAAGTTGTCTTTGATTCAAAGGCTAGATGGAAAACAAATACGTCTTCTCTATAATTACATAAACCTTGAACAATTTGTTGGTCATTTCGATAAAGGCACCGTAAAAAAAGGTACGCATGTTCGGACAATGCATATGCAGGACGCCATACGCAAGTATATCATTTACTTTATGGAATAATCACTACATCAGGAAGCACTTCTATACGGGATTCCGCGCAAATTATGGCGACCAGTATGTCAGTCAGTAGACTGTGTTAGTAACGCGGCTTAGTATGTTCTGGCCGTATGTCTGGATCTAATAATGTTCCTAAGAAGTGTCTTCTTGTGACTCTACATGAAGAGCTCAAGTTCGCTATCTCGACTACATGTTTAATTTAAATAGGCTACTTAAACGATAACATTCTATAGACAATAATCATATGTGTACGCATATTTTGAAAAGAGCTTTTCAGCATCGTTTCATCCTACACACGATACACTTTGAAGGCGTTTCTGTTCAAGCTCTATCATAAACAAAAACTTATTTTTTAATATCTAACCGTATCGCTATCACAGCTCGTCGCTATAAATACGTGAAAAATGGCCACGGCCGGTCCGGTCACGTTGTCACATGTCCGGTTCAACTTCTAAAACCTAATTAGGCGTAAGCTATAATGGGAACCTCGGACACCATTGCAGACATAACTCTAATATATAATACCGCATCGGACGCTCTTTTTCTGTTCATATATAACAACGGTTCTGCTGTTGGCGCTAGATTATCCTGTTACTGCTATATTCGCTGGGAAATATCTAAAAGGGATTATGATCAAATTGCTACTATCAGCATTAGGATTATTGCCTCTACTATTGACTTCGCTATTTTTATATGACGCTCTATGTCGGCTTGTGTACGCGCATGAATACATTTTGTATAGCTATTGTGCGAGCTATAGTAGCGGCTATTTTATAAAGTAACGAACATTTGCACCGTTGGTGCCGTTTGCCCCGATATGTTTACGATGTATATCGTGCAGTCAACGGCCCCGCAACGTAGCAAAGTTCATGGTGAGTTGAGTTGTCGTCTGTCGCCAGCTACCGAGCCATTGAATAACCAGCGTCTGGTGAAATGTTACGCGTTTAGAGCTATAGGTTGTTGATACTGCTGTTGTTACTTGTAGTACTGAATAAGAAGAAATTACCGAAAATAATGATGAGGCCAAAGAGCCAGATACTTGAGCGCGAATTAACGGTGCCTCCGTTGCCCAGCGGCAATCAAGCCGGGAAAACGAGTCGTCTTTGCACTGTCTCCGGATAACGCTGCTAAAGTTTGTGACTATCTAAATGTATGCTAAAGCAACTTGCGTCAGTGGAGCCGAAACGTATAGGAATAGACGAAAGTTACAAAATTAACCAGCCATATACATTTTTATCCTGTAAGTGGGACAGGTAATATATGCCGACGAACCATTTGTGTCCGGTCCACCTTTTCCTAGTACATGTTATCATGCAGATGTTAATGCGGTGACCAGACGGCCAGTAAAATGTCAACTTGCGGCTCAGAAAAAAATGAAACGAATGATGTATTAGTTTAATTTTACACAAGCTGTGAATAACCCAAGAACACATAATATTTACGTATCGCAGGTTGAGGCTATGGGCTTTTTCCTTAATGTTAAATGCACAGATTTCATAGTGTTTTATGTCCTTTGCGAACAACTATGACGCAGCAACTAGTGACGCTTGTGTTTCCCTAGCAACAGCGACAAGGCTGAGCGAACAGGTTGTGCCGCTTTAGGCCATTTAGGTTGTTGCCTAGTCCTGGATATTTCGTCCCGCTGAAACGGCAGCTCACGAGCTTATAAAATGATGCTGGCCGAATTATCAAGCTGAAGATTGGCAAACTACAGCAAGTAGACAACAGTGGTGACGAACAAGCTGAGAAAAGGTCCTGTTATATTTGTTTCGTCATTGGTATTGTTTCTAAGAGGATGGCAGCACGACAGGCTAAAAATCAGTGAGATTCTTAAACGTAATGGTACTCGTAATATGTTATGTCACGTCTACACATGTTATTATTGTTTTTGAACAGGTAAATAAGTAAGTAACAGCGGTGGAGAGAAACATATTAACTGATCTTGTTTGGCTTTTATGTCTGAAACAGAAACACGAGGAGGATGGGGAAGCTAACAAAGATATAATAAATTGATATTTCTTTGTCTGATGGATAGGGTGCACATTTAGTTTTCAGTAATTTCTTGTTTCTGTGGAGATCTGACATCGTTTATGGCACTGTAACGAGGTCGTTCGCGATTCTAGGTACTATACATTTTCTGTCGTTGCCTGTTTCATCGCCTCGAAAATTTCGGCCTTAATAAAAAAACTGTGTTTCATTCATGTTGTGTTTCGATTAATCATCTAGAGGCATCCGTAATACGATCAAGTCAAATGCTCAAGTGTTTCCTAGGTTTTTGTTTTTTAAAAAAAGTTTTTTAAAAAACATTCACCATGTTGAATTAGAAATACTCCCATGTCTCGCTTTTCCGCCATACCATACTGCATCTAAGTTTTACAATTCACAATTTGTTAAGCTGTGCTCTCTTTTATAGTGCATATATGCATATTTTGGTTATGATTGTTATCACTGGGCCTTGATTCTACACGTGTGCCCAGGGCTAAAAACAGATAGTAACAAGGCACAATGCCGGCTTTGGAACTTTATTATTTTCGAAACCTGACAAATGTCTGCTGCCAAAATTTTACAGGGCACTATAACATTATGTAAGTATGTAACCTTTAATCGATAGATATCTGCTTGTCTAGGATAGATAGCGCAACCTTTAAAACGATCTGTAATATATCTGTTGCACTCGAGTGGACAATTTCACATGATTTTTTAATGTAAAATAGAAGGTTGGCTGATGTGTTCCGTATTTACGTACTGCTACGAAGATCCAAATGTCTAAAGTGTCTGCTGGGTATCGTATAACGGCTAATTTTCTTCTGCTTGATTTAGCAGATTCGCTTTAGCTGGCCAAAGCATATGTGCGCGAGTAAGAACATTACGTGTTTTTTGCTCTGCTAATCTTGGAAGCAGCATGATAAACGTTTGTCTATGACCAGCGTGTAATGAAAGCTAAGTCCTGAATTGACTTATTTAGACGGTAAAGGCGTTCATAAGTGTTCAAACGCCTCGTACCATCCATTCGTTACCCCAAATCCATTTCACTCTTGTAGCATTTTATTCAATGCTTCTTCAATGTTTTTGGTGTTAACATAAATTGTTGACTTTTTCGTTGTTTTCCGATGCTTCTCGCAGCTATATATATATATATATATATATATATAGCTCCAGAAAACAAGTTATATATATGTAACTTATTTTCTGAAGGATGAAGACATCTGAGTTAGTGTTCTGTTATGCCGCGACTCATTTTCGCACGTTTTTCCCCATCCACCTCATTCACCTTGCCCCTATGCGCTCGCCTCCCACCTCCTGTCTCCCCTTTTCTTCCTCCCAAGTGGTTGACGGTGTTCAAGGACGGGAACCTGCATTGGTTTCCCCACGCGGAATCCCTGACTTGCGAATCTGTTCTTTTCCTATACAAAAAAGCTTACTAAATCCAAAAGAGCAGGCAACTCGCGCAGCGACAGCGACGCCGACACGTCATCGGCGTAATCTTCAACCGCCAGCTCTGCCGCAAGCGCGCATAAGCCCGCCACACCTCGCTTGCCGCCGTCATCAACCGGTATCGTTCCTTCATATCAGTTGTTGAATAGCCGGCACGGCTTAAAAATGGCTCGAAAGATTCATGCAGATAGGCCAAGATCGTGAAGGTGTCAGTGGTTGAAATATTGATAATAATAACTGTGATGATAGAAGCATCACCGACATCGTACCGCCGAGGCTAAGAAAAAATTGCGTCAGATCGAAATCAGTTTTATTGGTTACTCCGTTCGAGTGTCTGTCGAATCGTCCGTAAACGGTCGCAAGCCGAATTGGTCACCGCATTCGATGACAACGGTTAAATCTGCTGGTCCTTACGTCACTTGTCAAACCGACTAGGCGATCTGACACCTTGCCCGACGTCTGCTACCCTTCAGTGTCCAGACTTCTCTCTACCTCCTACGATATGCAGCTTATTTGGCGTACAGACCAGCATTGGTATCTGTCAACAGCGCCTTAGCACCAAGAGACGACAGTAACTAAACTCCTGTTACTATGCGTTTCGAAGCCAGCCATTGTCTGGAATCCTCGCCGGTTGCTTTATTTGCCCTGCGCGGAGCACCGCTTGGACTCACCGTCCACAGCCAACACAGGGCAACGAGAGAAAGAGAGAGACAGGGAAGAGTTACTATTGACAAAGTCAGATCACTTCTGCCCAGTTGTTCCGAGAAACCTCGTGCACCAATGTCACTGATCTGTATTATTTCAACGCATTTCTACATCGCTTTTTTCTATAAAACTTAAATTCAAAATTAAGCACAATATACAGCAAAAGACAGCGAGCTCGGACACCAGACTTTTTTTCTGTACACTTTCGCTATTATACAGGCATTTGCTAGGTAACGAACGGAATGTACCTAGTGGTATATTCTAAGCCCATCTATTTGGCCAACAAACTTCGCTAGACCCTGTTGCGGTAGCCCCATTATCCTTCTAGGTACCATAGCATACAACGCAATCTTTCGCTTAATGATTTTAAGCTTGCGTTGATTACTTAAACTGCTAAAAAATGACGACTCTCTTAGTCGACGATTCTTTCCGTTTATTCTGGTTAATTAAGAACACGCCAACCGGCGACGTCGAGCAGCGGGCAATGATGGAGCGCTTCAAACGTAGCCTGTTTCTGTACGATAAATTAGTTATGTTTGACGTGAAATTCCGCGTTTCAAACGATCCAAAAATCGCCACCGCCAACCAGGCAGATCAGTACCGGTGAGAAATTTCCGAGGTCATCTATCTAGTTCATTTATACATATGTGCTTCAGTGCACATGTCTTTGTGTGTCTGTGTGCGTATGAAGAAGCGTATTTTCATGTTAAGGCTTTCGCAGTTCATTGTGATATCTGTTTACGCACCGAATAATAAGTTCAGTAAAGTTCGGAGGTTTGCTGGGGGACGAGCAATGTTGCAATACGGTCCGGTACAGCTAATACATAGGTCTAATGAAATATTTCCTTTCTAATCATGTATCAAACTGAGTTCGCCTAGAAAACCCTTACGGTTTGTGATTTTCATGACGGTTGTCTCAGTCATAAAAAGGTCAATGGTAATATTGTGATATTTTAGAGAAAAGAACTAGTTTCTGTAGCATTACTACAATACCATTGAAGGTTTCCTATCGTCAGATTTGATAGTATCTTGCCTTGATTAGTCTGCATTTCGTAATCTCATCGATTTTGCTGAGAATGGTAAAGTAAACGGTTGCGACAAACATCATTTCTTGATCCAAAGATAACCGAAAGTGCTGGATGGGCATTAAGTCTAACGTGTGATTGCAAATATCCCAAATGAGGTCGTTAACGGTTTTTATGGACACTTCGTTTTTGAGCAATGTACAAAAGCGTTTACGTGAACCGACACCGTCTCAAAATATAACCATTAGACACCTGGCGGCAATGCAAGTTGATTCAGGTTTGCAGTTGAATTTGTGTCCATAAATTTTAAGGCCTTTTTAAGAAGCTTCTATATATAGATGTTAAACTTTGTAGGTGATGACGAAACATACTGAAGTGATTATTGTACTATAGGCAACAACACAGATAATAATTATACAGTAACGGCCTCACCAGTTCATTAGATCCAGCCTTTTGAAAGCCAGGCAGCGTTGACAGAAATAGGTACTTGCCCTGTTCGCGCAGGCGACGCAACTCGGCCTGATATTTTTTATGAACTCGGTTTAGTTCGTCATTGAGAAGCTGGTCAAACTCCCGCAGTTCTTCCTCGTGCTGCTTCTTCAGCAACGTAATCTTCTGCTCCAATTTATCTCGAACTTCGCCGAGTTGTTTTTCATGCGCTGTGCGTTGTTCTAAAAAGAGCAATGGAATTGAAGATTTCGGGACATTGTCAAAACAGGGTTCGTCCGTGGCATTGCTATTCGTTAAAGTTAATACAAAATTTGTATCCGTCATTTTCCACCGAGCGATGATCATGTTACTAAATAGTACTCGCCGACCTACCGATTGTATTGATGCTATGAATTCTTGTTAGTTCTTCGCGGAAGCGTTCGACACGCTCTTGAACCTGCCAGTCAAGTTCCGACGCCGATGAGGTGCTGTCCGTGGAATCCTCTCCACTTCCATCATCGTCTTCATCCTCGTCGTCTGAAGAGCCTGCATCCCGTGACATTAGCAGGTCATTTTTCTCTGCAATCGCGTCCTCCAGCTCTTTACGCAACGAAGATAACTGATCCAAACGAGAGAACGAAAATTGCAACGATGCCAAAATCAACGTGATGAAAAATCCTCAAGGACCAGCAAACACGCTATTTTGCTAGCGCATATATTCGGCACCTATTTTTTGGACGCGAAGCGCCTACAAAATATCGTTCGACTTCTGGTTCTGATCTGACCGACAGAATCTCGTATCAGAGAGACATATGCTGGAATACGTGCGTAGATTTGTTTTTAATAATAAATATTTATTCATAGTGCACATGTATGGCTAGCTAAGCCATAAAAGACAATTAATGGTAAATTAATTAATTGTTTTGGTGCAGACTTCAGGGTTCCTCTATGTGGGCCTAATTTCTATTTATATATTATGTAAGAAAAATTATACTATTACTAATGTTATAAAAGCAGAGAGCTTCAAATTATTTCGTACATATTGTATATAGGTTGTTAATATAGCAGTTGTATCCCGCAGAAGCTGCAGGTCACAGACGTGCGGTCTGAACAACCGCTGCAGAAAGCCGTAAAATATAATATAGCATTATTATCGAAAAGAAAGAAGAAAACGAGAAAAATGGCGGAGTAAATAGGGCAAGGCCGTACAAAATCATTTTCAGTAAAGTCCTCCTTCGTCGGCGGCGATAATTACCGTCATTGTGCCTATGCCCACTATACAATGGGGCAATAGCCAAATAAAAAGGTCTTAGCAACCCAAGATAATAATAATTATAATAAGTGCAGCTACTAAGCGCATCATGTATCCCCGCGCCGTTATCCGAATCGCCTTCGTATCCGATCTTGAAAAACTGGCTGCTATGCTAGTTTATAAAAATGAATATAGAATATATTTGTATAGACGAGCTTTCTGCTCGTCTGCGACGACGAGGTCTGCGTTTCTATCCCGCAAAGTATTACGTGAAATAATGCAAATTCAAGATCATATCGAAAAGTGTTCACTCTAGGGTACTAAAATAAGGGAAAGTTCATGGACCTATCAAGAATGTAGTATACTACTTTAGTATTCCGCTCATTGAGTTAATAGAAATTAGTTATAATCGAACAAACCTCCTGACTTCGTAAGTAGTCTTACAGAATAAATCGGCTTCAGTAACCTTAGTTAACTGCCTTAGTTGTATATATAACAAAAAAAAAAATCATCTTCCAGAAGAAAGAAACTAGCCGCAACAAAAAGAAACACCAAACAAATCTTTCCCCTTTGCGTAATAACAGAAATAATTCGCTGTTTGCTATCATAATAATGAATATACTTAGAATAAGTAACATAATTAAAATTTTCTAGCTTACTTTTACTGGGTCACTCCTCTCTCTATTCTCGTTCTAAGTGTGCCATTGTTCTACTGTATATGACTTCCCGCTGGTCTGGTGACATAGCTACAAAATTCGAGTTAGAATTTTTTTGTTTGTCCTAACACTAGCGACCGTTTGTGCTCACCAGGCACAAGTGTGTGTCTCTGTATGTATATCTAACAGAATCCACAAGCTGTATTGATATGATAACCTTTGCTAAGTCTATGATGGTGCTTTTAATTCGCACCATCATAGACTCAGCAAACACACACACACACATACTCAAGTGAAATAATAGTAACGTTGCTTTTATAGGAAAATTTAATATAAACGAACGGTTTACGAAAAGCTCGCAAAATGGGCCAACATTTGTTACAGACCCACTTAACTTTATTACGATAAAATTTGAGATAGGTGAAGCTGATATCAAAGACAAGAGCTGGCTGATTTCAGCATTCAGTTCAGTATGCCAAAGTCATCTGTAGAGTACCTTTTCGTTGAGCTGGTCATATTTATTTTGCCAGTCCTCGTTGAGTTCCCTTAGTTGGCAATCCTTCTCGGCGAAGGCCGCTTTTACGTACTCCTCAGTCTCCTCCTGCAACTGACTCATGAGACGTTCTTTCTCCTCTGTATACAACAAGCTGCAAAATAAACGTATACATTAGCGTCTTGAATAAATGGTCCACAATTTGTTTTCTGAAAAGGCAACCTGTTGACTTCTAGGTAACAGGTGAATTTCATTATGGTTTTGCTATCGTTGTATTAAATTTCCACAAACCACTATGACTAACTTGCCACTATAGTGAACATCTGGGCCGTGAAGTTTCAGCAATCGTAGGCAAATGGCCTTTCATATATCCGCTCTCAATTAACCCGTAGTGGAAACGTAACCTCGCGTCGAGGGAAACTTACAACCGCTTCTCCATCTCCTGGGCAGCCTCTTTCTTGAAGGCTTTGAGGTCGTTTTGTAATCGCTCAATCATTGCCTCTTTTGTCATGACCGAATTAGCCAATTCGTGGATCCTCTGATTTTTCTCTTTGAGATCGCTTTTACAATCGGCCAAATCTGCGCTAATCTTCTGCAGCTCCTCGAGGAGCTTCGGTGTTTTATTCTCGGACGCTAGAAACGCAGCATAGTATATTGAGATATTTATTAATGGTGATTTATTATTGATTTTAGGGATATTCAGACAGGACGCTGCATCCACCAAGAGTCAGTACAGTCCTTTAAATCAACGCTACATTGATGTAATGTACATTAAAAATGTATTTTCTTAATGATTGTCTATCCTCTTAATGCTTTCAGGTTTCCACTTATGAATCACCATTTATTTATTTATTTACTGTATTTATTGAATAGAGAAATCTGTGTACGTACCAACTAATACACTTAAGCGGGTCAAACCCACATATCAACTTCATGATCAGTGTACTGATACGAGTAAACCTAATATAAGCCTTACATTTATTTCGTAGTAGCATGTTGTTGCGTGAATAAGACGTCAACCATTCGGTGGGAACTATCTCGCAAAAACTTTTTTAAGCATGTTGTCGTATAGCCCATTTAAGATGGTCTTTACTAATATCATTATCCGTCATCATGGTCTCCCGTTCGACTATTGATGTTAAATGGCGTTCATCAGACATTATTCTTACAGATCTTCTTCCAATAGCTTCGCGATGGGGTCGGTCTATTTAGATCCGTCGATACTAGCTGTGCTTTTTGCTATCTGTAACGCTGAGCTGCTTAATAACAATGAGTAGCACATAAAATCGGCAACCAACATAAGTACCGGGTTTACGTCAAGAAGATAGACGACAGAGATTCAGAGAGCACGCGCGTGCAAGAAAAACATCACGAGAAGACCTATGCAGCGTAAACATCAGCTCGTCGCAGCCCTATTCCTCGCTGCTGCACCGTTGCTCTAGAGGAGAGGGCCACCAAGAATAGATTGACCGATCTGTTTCATCTGATTCGGTGCTCCCCTTCCTGAAAGGGACCACTTCCGCTTCTTCATTCCTTTACTGACCGTGTTCCAGGCCCAACAGTAGCAACAACGGCGACAGTAGCAGCTAGGGTGGCAACGACACATCTGTGAGGGTGCCTGCCTGCCTTCGACACCATCTTCACGTGAACCTAGGTACTCATATATACTACATATACACTCTGGATGAAAGGCGAGACGGCAGACGCCCTTCCTATTAGCTTTTTCATTCATAGAGTACCACTGTGACACCGACAGTGTATTATCGGGCGTAGTTAAACTGGCAGGCAGCGCTTCTATGAGCGCACCGTGCGTGCCTCTCTCTTTTTGCGCGGACACCGCAGCGTCTTGACCATTGATTCTGTCCTTGTTTGTGTGCTTGGTGATGCACGATAGGGCACCCAATTAAGGGTACACTAGCGATGCGGCGTGGAAAATACAACCGAGAATAGACTAAAAGTGGCCTGAGCGTACCTAATGGACACTGCGATTAAATAAAGCAATTCAAGGTAAAATTCAGATGGGTCAACCTGACACATGACGCGGCATAGCTTACAACGGAAGCACAGATGTTACAAGCGTTTGTTGTTCGAGTAATAGCTTTTTAGTGCGGTCAACCATCGTCTCAAAACGAATCGCGTAACACTAGAAGCGGTTCGTTGAATCTGATAAATCGTGAATATTTTGCACAGCACCTATCATGTCATCTTCTAAAGTAAAGTCGAGTACCTGCCGCTAACGTTTGTAAAAATATTGATAATGTAAATAATATACACGAGTTGTTTTCGCGGTAGAGCGTACGCGATACGGTACTGTGTCTAATATAAAAATTGTACTCTATTTAATAGTATTAAATTGATATAAGCCCGTTTTTAGTCGGTTGCGTCTTTCATCCAATATTATATATTAACCGCAGCAAAAAAAAAAAAAAAGCCAATTCCTTCACTTACCAAGGAGACTTCTCTGCAGATGCACCTGAGTATGCTCGAGATACTCCATCTTGCATTCGTATTGCTCGAGTTCGTCTTCTAACTCACGGATTCTGCTGTCGCGTGTACTAATATCATGGTCTCGCTCCTAGCAAAAAGTAGAAAAAATACCGAAGACTTCACGTAGATCATCTCTATAAAGTTTTCATCTGATAGCAGAATTCGAGAGATACTGTAGATGTTCGTAAAATATCTATTCGGTCCAGCTGACTAGCATTGCTTTCAACAAGAAGCTCTGCTTCTATAGCAGTATTGATATATAGTATAAATTCTCTACAAGTTTTATATGTTCCTATGAGTTAAATTTGTTGAAAAATTTTCATTTACCCTCTGTACAGAGCGGACCCGGTCCTCGACCTGGCTGCGTTGTTCGAGCAAATCCTGGCGAAGTTTACACAAATGTCGTACCTTCTCTTTGAGCTTCACCACTTCAGTCTGGAGTTTGTTGATCACAATCTCCTGCTCCGTCTTGGTCGCTTCCAGCATGCTGATCTTGTCTAGAATGTTACAGGACAGAATATCACTCGTCAGACTCCCACATCGGTGGCAAATATATGATTAAAGTGAGAATACGTGTATACAATAATAACTATAAGTATTAGCAGAAAAATTGTTTCGCTCGAAATCTTGAAACGTTCAAGATCTCCAGCGTTGCTAGCTGTTCTTTCTTATGTAGACATAGGCGCCGTTCCCACCGCAGTTGACTACGACTATTTTAGCGTAAATAAAATTATGATTGATTCTTTGTCTGTTCGTTGATTGCTTCACATAGCTCGACCGTTTCTGGTTGACGGCTACTCTGCGGTATAGACTTTCCATAACGCTTAAGTAAATGTCATAATACAAGAACGGCAGAGATGCAAGAACGCTGACTAATCGTATTGGCTTCTTGCTAAAATCAGCGTCGTGGGCAGATGCAGATAGCCCCGGCAAAAATGACCTTGACTTCCACTAAGAAGGCGACAAGGCGTTCGATAGCCTTCGATTCGAAAGGCTATAACATTTATCTATTCCCAATGGCCAATACGCAGTGATACGTTTCCACTGTGCCACAAACTATGAACTCTAAATTATCGAACTACAGGCGGGTGCCGAACTCAAGTCCTGTAAAGATGTCAGGGCAAGAAACACGTGGCCTTTTACTGAGCCGGGAAACGGCTTGCTAATTGCCCAAATTATCCGGAACAGCGTATCAGCTGCAACAAGAACTTCGATTTATAAGTAAGACGTGTTGTCCTGTTTACTGTGAAGGCAAGTCTTTCGTCAGACGAATATCAGGGGACAGAATCGTACTCTGTCTATTAGTGATGTACAAAGCAAACTTATAGAGAGGTAATTTCTGCGTAAAAGCTGCGTGTGTTACAGCTAACCATGAAGTTTAATACCGTATGCCAAATCACTCATCAACATTATAACACTGCTCAATCTATTGAAGTAAACTCTCTGTGGAAGCAGCTTGCCGTTACTACGACGATTTTGCTTTACCTACCACAAAACTAAATTATATAGGAGTACAGCAGTAGGTTAAATACCTCGAGCAAAGCGTGTAAGGTTGTTGTCAAGCGTAAGAGCCTTTTCGACCAGAGCCGCAGCTCCGGTGAGATCCTTGCTTGAGTTAAAGTCCTTCACCTTATTCGAATCTTTGTTAATATCATTAAGTGCTGTTCGTCGTGGGTCTATGAGCTCACAGTTAATTTCTTTTTCTTCACGAAGACCTTCCCTGACGTTCGTCTGTATTGCATTTGGCTTTGATTGACCCCCTACTTCTTTAGCTGACAGTGAATAGTCTTTACGCGGTTGAGGCGGCGTGTGATAATCCACCTCATCGGACTCCAGGTACGACTGAGCGCCTTCCTCGGAATCTGAGTCGATGTTAGCTATCGGTGCTTCGGATTTTTTGGCACTGCCACCGAACGAGAATTTATTCTTCAGTTTGTTCTCCTTTTTGCTTTTTCTATCATCCGTCTTCGTTTTCCCATTATCTTTCTCCTGGAGCGGTTTTATGGAACCGTCAGAGCTGTTTTTGCTTTTTCGCGAACTGGTATCAGACCCTTCGCCGGGCGAGTTCTTGCGCCGGAGCCGCGGGGTCGATCCGCTCGCACCCATAGCTAAGCGGAAGCCGAAACAAGACAGCTTGACTCGATCTGATAACACACGAACAATATAAGGATTGAACTAGTTAGCGGTGCCTGTATTGTCAGGCCTCCGAAATCAACCAAAAACGATATATACAAGTGCTCGATGCCCGCTGTTGGGTCGAACACACTGGGAGTTGTTCTGGAACACTAGGAGGTCTCGGCGCTCGTGGACAGTGGATAACGGTTCATCAGCAGTGAGTTGAACGAGTGCGCAATTCACTCGAGAACCGGTCCGTTCGGGCTACCGGACCCCCTGCTCCGACTCTACATGGTGTCACAACTGCGGTATCTGCGGCAAGTTTATCCACACAAAAATCACGATAATAGCTAACACCGAACGTCTTCACAGTTTTCAAGCGAATTTCGCCAACAGATAGAGCGACTCGTGCTATTGTTGCTGTTCCTTCGGGATATCAGAATAAAACATTCGAGTGGGCTATAACTTTCACCACTGCAGCCAAGAACAGCGTAGGGCCTTCGGTAGGCTCTTAACCTATCGCACTTAATCGGCAGGCAACTAGGAAAATTCAAACATCGTGTTGGTGTTAGCACCAGGAAGGCCAGGCCGCAGGTAAAGGCCTAATCGAGGCCCTGCCCGACCCGAGCGCCGCTCAACAGCCTTAAAAGAAAGAGTGTGTCATGCTGGAAGAGGGGACAGAGTCTCAGCCGTGGCGGTCGCAGTTCGTAATGGCATTGGTGCTTGTGACGATCACAACAACGTTAACGACGAAGACGCCAACAACTGTCGCTACAGACTTAAGCAACCAACGCAACTTGGGTGCCTTATCCACAGTGATGACTACTACGCTATAGTAGGTCGGACCGTCGATAGTTTTGATGCTTTGCGTGGTCTAGGGCAGCTTTCGCATGCGTCGAGACAGACAGACTTTGAAACAACAACTGGGAGTCTGTTCGCTCGTGCTTGCCATTGCTCTCAATGTGTATTTTGCAGCGACTCGAAAGACGGTGTTCGAACTGCGTGCAGACTGGGCGGCTATTACTGCTGCTAGCGTTGCGGTTACATCGGCTTTAGTATTGGTCAATGAATGATGGATGCACGTCATGAAGAAGCTGAGCTCATGTTTCGTACTCGGAAGAGTTCGCCTCTCGTAATTCTGCCTTACCACGTTCAAGAAGGAAAGCCGAGACCATGGCCGTTGTGCGCGGTAAAGCGAGGTCCCTGAAATCTGCGTGTCTTTTATCCTTGACGTCCAGTTCCGACGTATATGGGAACTGTGATCGTAACACGAACATCTGCATATCATAATACCTCGATTTGTTGTCGAGGCAAAGAAATAATGACGGAAAAACAGCTAACTGATGTATTATGCTTAATGGCAAACCTACGCTCAGGTCAATGTAAAACGAACCATCATTCAGGCTTGGGCTATTTTCGTTGATACCACTCAACTCTGGTGTTGACAGTGAGGTAACTTGGTTGCGTGGGGCCTGGCTCACGGTCATGTCCTCTGCGTAGTAGAAGAATCAATTTAATGTTGTTAATGAAAACGTCAGGATATCTTCTAGGAGATACAAAGAAAAAGCATGTAATAGAGACGAATAAAGGTAGCTGGTTAGAATGATCTGACCGCCTTCCGTTTTTGCCGCATTAAAACGGTCGAGAACGAACTAAAATGGGAGGATATACATCGGCTCCTGGGTTTTATTTTTTATTAGCCGTCGTCTCTGTTTGAACTGCTTAGCACAACCAACACATCCGTAATAAACAAATAATCTATGAGATATATCTAATCCAGGCGTAATCGCTAATATCTCTAAACCTGTTAGATTCGCATTGTGGTCCAATATGAGTAAGCCTTAAAAATGAGCAGTACACGAGCGGTGCGATGACCGCTAGTAACATTGGGCTATGAACTGTGTTCATGTCAAATGAAAATCGGCAAATAAGGAACGCGTAGTGATCTGGCTGCTTCATCTAACGGGCTTTCAGTCCACGGTATTTTTACCCTAAATGGCGTATCCATTCTGCAAGCCAGTTGTAGATGGAAATACCAAACTTATAGATTCGTATATAAAGTACGTTTTGTTCAGTCATCAAATCTCCTTTATTGAGATGTAGACAAAGATTCTCTCATCATGGTTATTTCGTTATTTTTATTCGTAACGAAATTCGTCTCCCAATTTTAATTCGGTTGTTTTCTTTTTTTTATGAGACGAACGGGATCATACGTAGCGACGGTAGACGCAAACACACCAAATATAGAGCTAATAAAAAACCAACCAAGTGCCATGGTACTGATAATCGTGAAGTAAATATTATCGGCTGTAGGTTATGATGTGTGTGAACCTGTCAGTTGGTCTAAAGCATTTGCTTTCCTAACTACTTTCGATAGAGGGTGGGTGACACTCTATCCTTCTGGGTTCTTCTGCCGCTTCTGCCTACCACCCCTTCACTCCAAATCTACAGTGTACAATAGAAGAAGCATAAGAAGTGGGCAATATCTTTGATAAATTGGCGCTACTACCGACGTTGTGCCTTTGACAGGGTACGCAATGCGGCGCCATCGTAAATGAAAAACGTTACCGCAGAGATGCTGTCCCCGTTGTTGAAGTAGCTTGACATCCCAATTATCCACTCTTCCGTGGCCGCGACTTCGTCATCAGTATCGGCCGTTATCGCTACGGCAACAATGATAGCCGTTGCTCATGGTATCAGGAGCGCTGCCGATAGAAAGCATCAATGCGGCGGCGGCTGCAGCAGCAGCAGCAGCAGCAGTATGAAGCTCATCATTCGACGCGGTGTCGCCCACCAGTCCATTGTTTCAACCTCAAGAGAAAGGAGAAAATCGAACAGACTCAGACTAATTTGGACCTATAAACATTACGACAAACGGAGGATAACACGATGGACATCACACGGTGTCGATGCTGTCAACCGACAACACGTTGCTAAAGAGCGCCTTCAATGTCGTCCTGGATATAAAGGCCTCGAAGCTGAATTTGTGACGATTATCTGCGCGTGAGACAGCCTAAAATGCAACCTACTGCCGGAAGTATTTAGGCTGACGTGACTCGTTACGCCATTTAAAAAGGTTATGCCACTTGAACTCAAGAAATCAGTACGGAGTCGCTGCCTTCACAAAGGTGTCAGTCTTTCTTATTGTGCAGAGCTTCTCTGAAACGGTCCGAAACTGAGAAGCTCATAGGTGACGACCATATGATGTTTTTTGATACTGGTCATATGATGAATAAGTTTGTAGCAGATTTGGCTTTGAAGAGCTCTACAATGTTCTGATTTGGGTCTACGCGTGCCATTGCCCAGTTTGAGATAGCGGGACGTGTCTACGTTACTTCCATTATAGCAAAGATCATGTTCAACTAACGGTTGTAGGCTTCAG